TTTTCCTCCGGCCTGAGGTCAGGGAGGAAGGATGCGCGAGCGGGTCTTCCAGTCGGTGGGCAAACGTGGGCGACGCTGGCGGGCGATGACGAAGCGCCGGTCCTGTCCCTCGACTGGGGCTCTGGCGCACGAGGAGACGAAGGAACGTGGCCGTAGGGGACCCTGGTGACACCCGCGCACCGGGCCAGGCGCGGGGATTGGAGGGGCAGGAGAAGGGCAGGAGAGTCTCGGCGGGGCGATAAGACCCAACTGCTTGCTAAGGAACCGCGGTGTCGCCAACCAGATGCTCTCATGGCTCCCCTGGTGACCCCTGGACTGAGGCGTTCACGTCTAACGTCCTGGGTGACGGATGAGCAAGGAGCCGGCTTTTCTGGAAGCTTGTCTAGGCGGGTTCCCTGCCGCGACTGTGCGGACGGATGCCTCTCGGGGCGCGGCCTCGCGGCGCTCCCAGCACTGAGCCTGGGGTACAGCCACCCCCAGAAAAGACTTCCATAAGCGGCCCCCGCAGCGGTTCCCAGCGAGGATAGCACAGTGCCTCCTGCTGGACGTGCAACGCATGTGCGTCGAGCGGATGCAGAGGGGAGAGGTGAAGTAAAGGCCGTGTGGTCTGGCACCAACGGCGGTAGCCTCCGCGGGCGCCCTGGACGGAAGGCGGGGTGGGCGCACGCTCATGGGGGCTTGCCTTATCCTCACGCTCATTTCTCCGAGCATCAGAAATTCACTGCAGAAGAGAAATAAATACCCGCTGTGGACAAGGCCAGAGGACATCTAGCAACTTCTAAAGGCCTACGGTCATCCGAATCACCTGGCCTGGTCTTCCCGGCTCTGCCAGAATCACCAATGTCCAGTTTCTGGGAGTGCTGCCAGAAAATGTGTGTGTGTAACAAGTCCCAGCCGGTTCTGATGGCGGCAGAGCCTGAACACACCTGTGATGGATTGAGCCTGAGCCAGGGGTGCAGGGAGAACGCTGGGTGTCTGTCCTTCACTCTCCCAGAGCCGGAGAGCCGAACCAGGCTCTGAGCATCTCCTCCAGAGGTGCCCGAGGCCCAGGACTTGTGCCCTAGGATCGCCCTTCCCTTTCTAGAGCATTCTACACTTTGAACAGTTGGTGCGCACGGAATTTTATTTTAGCCCCAAAGCCTTCATCTTCTTATAAAATTGGTATTTTCGTAATTTAGATGGTTGGCCATTTGGCGTGGGATTGTCTGTAATGTAGAAAACAGTAGATACAAAGTTAGACTCTGAACAAGTCAGTAAATGAGACAAATGGACGCTGGATTTCCTAGTGCTGTTACGGTGGTGAAGACAGATACCCATTTCCACAGAAATGTGTTCAGGGTACATTCCTAGACGAAGAGGGTCAGAAGTACCGTGGGCCTGTGCGTGTGCACACGTGCGTGCAGATAGATGCCAATAAATCTAGACATTTTAATTTCTTTTCTTCCACTTAATGTGGGTATTGTCTGTCTTTTTCTCCAGTGAATGAGTATTGTTTTGGGAATAAAATATTATAGATAATGGAAAACAAAGTTTAGAGCTGTCAGATCCCCAAGGTGATGTCTGTTTGGCAAAAGCTACGGAGGCTTCAGGCAGCGTTGTGGTTCCTCCTTTCCCGTTCTGCTTCTGAGCTCTGACCCATCGCTCAGTCTCTCGGGATGTGAGATATTGATGCCGCAGGTGCCATAGAAAGACATACTCCCTTCTGTTTATTTTGCAGTACATGTAGTTTAGTAGTTCTTCAACTGGAGTTGTGGGTTTTTTTTTTTTTTTTTTTTTTTTTTTAGTTTACACTTTGGCCTCAGAAGCGAGTCCTCTGATACAGGAAGGAAACTCACATGCCACGTGGACCGCACGGCTCACCTCCAGCAGGACCTGCCACGTGCATTAGTTCTTTATTGCTGCCTAAAAAATTCACCCCAAGCTTTTGTGGCTCCTACTCACTTACATCATAGGAATGTCACTCCAGGGTGGGGAGAGCAGGCAGACTTTGCTGGGCCCTCTGGTCCAGTCTCAACAAGGTGTCTGCCAGGGTCTAAAGTCTCATCTGATCCCTCATCTTGGCAGTTTCCTTCCATCCCACCCCCTGAGCTGACTTCGGGCTCATTGGCAACCAGCGCTCCGAGATCATCTGCCCTTTGCCTCATGCCTCACCCTCCCTCTCCTCCTCCTCTGCACTGGAAACTCCGAGAATAAATGAAACCACTTGCTAAATTAGGACATGCTGTCTTCAACCCATGCTTCCCCCCCTGCCCTCCAGTTGTCTCTCAGTGTCCTTGTCCAAATTTTAAAATAATTCTGCTTTATATCTGGCAGCTGAACTTTGAATTATATATAAAACAATGGGAAGCTCTCCAAAACCTTGACGCAGAATCATGTCATCCTAAACCAGTTAGGGCAAGCATCTAGACACTGGGGAAAAAATTGGAAAGGAAGACAGTCTTGTTATTTTTGCAAAGTATGTGGCCATTAAGAGTTTAACTCCTCTAGGAAATTCCATCAGGGATGTGAACTGGGGCCTCTCAGAGAACAACTTTTTCCTTCTTTGTGTGTTAGTGAAAGTTAAGGGAGACTTGCTCGTACTTCCAACACTGTTGGTGTAACAGGAGAGCGTGTGTGCTGATAAGGTGGGAGAAATCGATCTGTTCTTTCAGAAGAACTTCCGTAATTGCTGTGTGACTTCAGAACACAGAGGAAAAGAGAGGTGGCTGTCTACTGAAAAATGAGTTAGACAGGAATTTTCCAGTTGGAAAAGGAAATTATGGTGATTTTTAGCAGTAATGTCATGTGATGGTTAATTTTATGTGTCAACTTGACCGGATCATGGGTGCCCGGATCGCTGACAAAACATGGTTTCTGGATGTGGCTGTGAGGGTGTTTCCAAGGAGACTAACGTTGGAGTCAGGGAGCTGAGTAACACGGAGCCCCTCCCCACAGGGGTGGGTCTCATCCAGTCCACTGAGGGCCCGGGGAGGGGTGAATGTACACACACACACACACACACACACACACACACACTCTGTGTCCATACACATATATCCCATGGCTTCTGCTCCTTTGGAGAGCCCTGACTAGTACACACAGGTTGAATTCGGTCCTTCTGTGTTTTAGTTGTGAGCTGCTAAATCTGAATACCATTTTGCATACTGTCTACGCATAGACCTGTGTTCCCCATCAGCGTTTACAGGTTCGTAATGATGTGTTCTTTTTTAAAAAATTTTTACTGAAGGACAGTTGATTTACAATGTTAGTTTCAGGTGTACAGTGAAGTGACTCAGTCCTACACACACAGACGTATAAATATTTTCTTGTAATGACGTGCTCTTGAAGCTCCTCACTTCTATATCTGAACTGACGTGGTTCCTGGCCAGTGTTCAAGGGCGAACTCACCAAAATATCCCAAAGCAAAGCTGCAAACAGCTGTGTTTTTGCAGCTTGCAGACGAGCACACAGGGACCGTGCATGGGCTGGGGGCCCAGGCCAGCACGTGCGCAGCAGGAGTTGTAGATGCTGTTTGGGTGTAAACTTTCTGAGAGCTCGTCTCCTCCCAGGACCGGTGATGCCGTCTGCCTCTGCTTTCTGCCCCCTGCGCACGGTTCCCATTCACTTCTGATCTGGCAGATTGTCTGTCAGTAGTGAAAAAATGAAAGCGTCTATTAACCCCCCTCCCAAGTTAATTGCATGACTAGTGGGTCATGGAAAAGGCCTAGGATTTGGGAATCCAGGCCTGAGTTTGGACATCTTGCTGCTGATCAAGGATGGAAGCTCCTGTACTTGAACTGGGATGTTTCTCTGCTGTGCCCCCTCCTTTCTCTTGTCTCAGCATCGCCAGTCCAGCTCCACTGGCAACTTCTCACCCATTTCGTCTGCTTCCTGTGGCCGCTCTCACCTCTACCATTAAAACAGTCGAGTGGGGACCCAGTAAGAAGGGCGGGAAACAGACTGCGGGAGGGTGGCTCTTAGCAAGGAAAACAAAGTTATCCTGGAGACAATGTAACTGGTCACTAGAAACATCAAGACAGTCCATCTTGCTGTGGGGATCACCGAGGATTCGGCTGACTATTCAGAATAGTCGGCAGCTTGAATCTCCAGCGCTCACAGGGGCTCCGGTCTTTGCAGACGTGGGAGGGAGGTCCGCCCTGCTGGGGGGGTCAAAGTCTCAGGTTCTCCAACGGATCCCTGCTCTCGCTCCCCCAACTTGTGGGCCTCACCCCCTGGCCCCCAGAGGGCGAGGACGTGGCCTCACCTGACCTTGGCCTCTTTGGCTAGAACACATTTGCTCCCCAAGGCTCTCTTGCTGGAGCTGCACACAGAAACCTTTGTCCCCTGCTGGCGGCCGGGTGCTGGCCCAGGAGGTGCCGTTCGTTCCCAGGCTGTTTGGCTGCTGATCTTCCTCTTGGGCTCCAAGATTTTGGAGGGTACAGAAACTTTCTTTTTAAACGTATTCTCAGATTTTTTTTTTTAAAGATCAGGCCAACCAAAAAAAAAAAAAAGACACATCTAAAGTGAGGTGAGTCAGATGCAAGTGGAAAGTTTAGGGGATGAAATGAAATACATGTGTGTATTCACAGTCCGTGTGGTTTCCAGACTCGGGGGCATGTTGGGCTGTGAGCTTCCTGGCTCCTGGAACCAAAAACTAAAAAAATTTAAAAATTAAAAAAAACAGGGAAATGCTAAGAGTCTGTGTAAGGCCCCACTTTGCAGACTTGGTCTTAACTTCTGGTGATCTGGAGTCACAGAGGTGCTGCACCAGGACCCCTCATGAGCCGTGTGGGCTTTCCCAGGTGCATAGGCTGATTAGGAACCAGCGTGCAGGTCAGGGGGCGGTTTGGTACCCGCGGGGTAAGTACAAAGGGTGATGAATTCCCTGAAGGGAATTTTCCACTGAAGGATTAAACGGGAAGAGAGAGAGAGAGGGAGAACAGTCGTCACTCTTGCCCGAGATCCAGGGCCCCTTGTCCAGAGCCCCCCCAGAAGCTTCTGGAGAGACACTGGCACAGCTGCTCCTGCAGCCCGTTCTCCAGGACTCGCCATCCTCCGGCTTGTCTTGCTCGCTCTTCGCTCTCCATTTTGAAAGTGAGGCCCTGCGATCGAAGCTTGTTTTCGCATCTCGTTAGCTACGTCCTGGTGGCCTTCCAGGAATGACTTTAATTTTGTTAGCCAACGGGTCCTGGAAGTCCTCCCTGGAGACGGCTGGTCCTCGGCTGTATTTGTGCATTCCTGAGACGCGTCCAAGTTCATCACTTCCTGACTTGCGCGTTTCATTACGCTGCGTGCGTGTGTAGACACACGTACACCTGCATACACACACACACACACACACACACACACACACACACACACACACACACACACATCCCCCAGGGGATTAAACAAGCCTCGTCTGTGTCCCCAGGATGTGGAGCAGGGGAGCTCTCAGCCTGCATTCTGTTCCCGCGAATGAACCTGATTCTGCAAATCAGGCTGGTGTGTGGCTGGGAGCTCTGTTCCCCACGCTGGAATTTCGAAAATATATACTTTCCTGAAAAACAATTTGAAATAAAGAAGCTTACTTATGTAAGTGTTACCATAACTGGAATATTGAGAAAGTAAAATCCTGACTAAGCAGATAGGATTTTATTAGTTTCTGGGGAGTTGGCGAGATTCTGTCTCCTGGCCCAGCGCAGTCTGGCTGGGAACCCTGAGATCTAAGCTTTGCCAAAGATTCTCACTGCAGCCAGAGAAACACGGGTGTGTGTGTGTATGTGTGTGTGTGTGTGTGTCTTGTAAAGTAGGGGTCTCAGTGCCATGAAAAAAGCACTTTTTTTTTTTACGGGAGGCCACTGGTTTATCATTTAAGTAGCCACCCAGTTCTTTTGGTGGGGGAGAGGGGAGGTAATTAGGTTTATTTATGTCTTTTGATGGAGGCGCTGGGGATTGAACCCAGGACCTCGTGCATGCTAAGCACGCGCTTTTTACCACTGAGCTCTACCCTCCTCCCACGCCCGTTTTTGAATTATTTGTTTTCTTATTGAGCCGTGAGAATTATTTATGAACTGTAGGTACAAGTCCTTTGCCAGATATGTATTTCACGCATCACTTCTCCGAGCTTCTACCTTGAAAATTAGCTGTTGACTTTTGATGAAGTCCGGTCAATAAACTTTTAAAAAGACTTTGTAATTGTGCTTTTGGTGCCGTCTCTAAGAAATTTTTTTTTTTGCCTCACTCAGTCTGAGTTGATATCTGCTTATGGTGGGAGGCAAAGATGGAATTTCACATTCTGTTTTATACACAGTGACTGTGCTGCGTCATCTCAGAGCCGGTTGCTAAAAAGACTCACCTTTCCCCATTGAATTGCCTTTTCACCTTTGTTGAAAATCAGCCGTGTGAGTGGGAGCCCATTTCTGTGCTGCCACCGGCCTCTGTGTCTGTCCCCCCAACGCCACGTTCTCTGCGTGAGCTGAGGCTTTCTAGA